AGAGTCACTAGTCGAGTTACAGATTGCTCGGTGGAGGTTGGTGGTTAGCTGGGGATGGGTGAGAAAAGATACGGTAATAAACTGAAAACTTTCACAGCTGTCTCTGCCAGAATCTCTTCATTTTACCTAAAATGATAAATATTGGGGAAAAAAGCCAAACAAGCCCCACACCACCCCAAAAGGGCCTCCCGGTGCTATAATTACAGATATCTGACTTCTTATCAGATTATCTCAGATCTTCCCTTTAAAACGTGTCTGTGGAAGAGCTCTTGCCAAGAGGAGACCAGCCATCGACGCTGCCTTCTCCCCTCTGCTCATATGTACTCACATGCTAAGAGCGTAGCTCCTGGACTTTGGATCCGTGTCTTGCAGACAAGACACTTTTTGAACTCGCTGTGGAAGGAAGTTGAAGTTCAGAGATGTTTGTGAGCGTGTCCTGCCCAAAAACCATGGTCATGTTCCCTGGTCCCTGGACTAAAAGATGAGTGACTGGTGACCAGAAACATGAACTCTTCTGAGCTCCTCCACCAGGGTCTTGCCTTCTCTGTGGCCATGGTCTTGCCCCCCACCTTCCTTGTACACTTGACTCCCTGCCTTCACAGATGGGCTCCCCAAACAGCACACACTGCTTCCACCCGGCTACCATGTCCATTTGTAACTTCTCCTGAACAGTCACAGTTAATTTTTCCCCTGCTGTCATCTTGAGCTGTCAACAGAAATAGAGTGATGCTGTTTGCTTGCTCTTACAAATAAGCCTCCGCTGTGTAATGTCAATATGCCTCTCTGCACGTCTGTGCAAGTTCCACTCACTTTTTAGAGACGCAACAGGGGTAGAGAATTAGAGTCCTGGGAGGAGGAGGAGGAGGAGGAGGAGGAGGAGGAGGAGGAGGAGGAGAGAATAGCTGTGCTCTGGCCCCTCTACCCCCACAGCCTGGTGACACTCAGGAGCACTTTCCTGAGCTCTAGTGACAGCTCAAGGTCTGGTGTCTTTTATAACCATCATTTACTTCACCTCTCTCCCAAAGTTTATTACCTTAGTCTCAGGAGGCTCCTCTGCCTCTTTCCTGCCCACTCACCAAGCTTGATGAGACTTTCCTACTGTTTGTCACTATGGGCATGCCATTTCACCATCTGGGAGAGCTTCGTGTTTTCCGGAACGATGGAAGCATCACTTGGGCTCTGGCTGAGCACTGTTTTGAAAGCAGCAACTCCGCGTGGCTGCAGGCCTCTCCCACGCACTCAAGTGTCCACGTAGAGCATCTTCGGTGTTCTCTCTCTGAACTCATTCACTCCCATGACCTCACTGTAGTTACAAATCCCTAGGCCTCATAAATGGTCCCTTGCCCTTCATGGCTAGATAATGGGAACTTGCATTCAGAGGCAATTAAGGGGGTTATCCACGGCCAAAAGCACTTTCCTAAGGTGTTCAGATAGGAATGAAAAAAAAAAGTTGTGTCAATACCTCTACTCTGGATAGTTTAGTGTTTCCCGCCAGCCATAATGAAGCTCGCTTTCCTCATCAGCTCGCCCATGACTTTGGTTCCCAAAACTTGACTCATGGTCTTCCTTCTAGTCTGCGGTGTCTCTTCCTGGTATATTACCAACATGGATCCTCTATAGAACGCTAATATGGAAGTATGGATAGAAAAAGTCAAAATTTCCATGTGCAAAATGCCTCTGACTAGGGCTGTGCCCTGGGGTGTACACACTCCCTTAAATCACTAGTAGCGTTGTGGATCTCCTCGCCCATAGAGCTCTGGGAGTTGTGAAAGTGTCCTGTTGTCCTGATTGTGTTGATGTGACTTCTACTAATCCTTTCCACTGTTTCCCATAATGCATCCCACAGGGTGTTTTACATAGTTACATGTACGTGTGTGTGGGGGTATGTGTGCCCAGTAAGTTTGTGACTGGGTGACTAAACAAAACCATGGAATTATCTTTCCTGCAGGATTTCCTGAAGCCTTGACAATAGCTTATGTATTAACCATCAAGAGCAAAAATACCTGGTCATCTGAACCTCATTAGAATGATCACGGAGCCCTTCCTCCCAGGGCATCTAAAGGATGAGCTGCGTAGGGCATTTATGTTGGGGCACATTCATGATCACTTTGAATGCAAAAAAAATCTGTGGTCATGTGGGAATCTACTTGGTGATATGGCTTTTTGGTTTTTTTATTGATTTCTTTTTATTTATTATACATACCAACCACAGTTTCCCCTCCCTCCTCTCCTCCTACTCCGTCCCCTCCACCTCTTTTCTTACCTCCCCCACCCACTCCTCAGAAGGGTAAGGCCTTCCATGGGAGTCAACAAAGCATGGCATACCAAGTTGAGGCCGGACCAAGCTCCTCCCCCCGGGACCCCACCATAGGGGAGTGGGTCTTGCAGGTTACGGTGTCCAGTGGGTGGTGGCACTGGTGGAAAGGCCTACCGGCAGGACTCTCACCTCAGCTTTCTCTTTTGTTCTGTTTCTTTTCCTGCTGGTTTAGATGGTCCCTAACATTTGGCTCCTTCCGCTCCAGACTTGTGATCTTTAAGTATTTGGAGATTTTCAGATTCCTACCTTTCTTGAGTTCTCAGAATAGAGGTTTGTAAACCCTGTTTATTTGCAGATAAATAGTTCTTATTCAAGAGAGATGGCCAGAAGCATCAGGGAAGCCACCCAGGGGCTGCGTATCATGGTGGGAGTAGATAAGTGCAAGGCTTCATTCCACCCACCTGAGTTAACTTACTGTCCCCTTAACAATTCACCGTAAATGAGAGACTTGAAATGCTGTGAGTTTGTCTTTATGTACCTGGAACTCAGAAATCTGAAGTAGGGTCCCAGGGATTTGGGAGGGTGTAAGGAAGAATGCTTCATCTTGCATTTTTAGTTTCTTACGTGCCCCCAGATCCCTTGGCTCATGTCCTCACCTCCCTCTGCAGAGCCAGCAGTTACCCCGGCCTCTGTTCCTGGTCTCACACCTTCTCCTTTGCTCCCTTCCCCCCTCAGACTTCGTACACATTCATTTGCCTGGGAAGATAGGTGTGGCTAATGTTTCCTCCCAGAGAGACATTTAAAGGAACTTGTACCTCTGGGGTGGAGAACCTTCCCAGACAGACAAAGAGCCAACCTGAAACTCACATCTTTTAGTGTGATACATCTTTTAATCAAAGTACCTTAACCCACTATTCATCCACATGTAATTTAGTTTTTAAAGATTAATAAATATTCAGCCCAGACTAGCCTTGGCATGAGCACTGTGCCCTGATAGAAGAAAATTATCAATCTATGGAGGCTTATCATCACCAGAAAAATATTCCTTAAATTTCAATTTACTTACACACTTTGGTTGCCGGTAATTATGATGGGGTTAACCTGGTGTTTTCAAGCATTAAGAATGTACATGAAATTAAAGTTCTGTGGGTGAGCCAAGTATGGTAGCCCATTCTTAAAATCCCACCACCAAAGAGGTAGAAATGGGCTATTGCAAGGTCAAAGCCAGCTTGGGCTACATAGGCCAGCTGTAGACTTTATAGAGTATTTCAACAAATTCAAGACAGACTTATGTAGACATCGTGTTATAGGATTAAAAAACACATATATTCTCCTTTATTCACAAAGTGAAAAAGAACAAAACAAGTTGGCTGTGGTTTTCCTAAGTTTCATTCAGTGTCCTAGTCATACAAAGCATGTTTAATTTGTCATTTGTAATTTGTGTTTCCCACACAGTGCCATTCCATGCCCTTGAGAATCAGTGACCTGGGCATAGAGACACACATCTGTCACCCCAACACTTCAGAGGCAGAGGCAGGAAGATCCAGAGTTCAAATCTAGCTTGTGCTACATAAGAAGTTGCAAACCAGCCTGAGCTACATATCGAAACCCTGTGTCTTTGTGATTTTTTGGGGGGAGGGGGTCTTTTTTTTCTGGTGCTGTGGGCCATGCCCAGGGCCTTGTGTTTGCTGAGGAAGTGCCCTCCCACTAAGCTGAATCCCCACCCCTGTGAGACTCCATCTCAAAAATAAAAATGAACAACTAAATAAGTAAATAAATGACAAGCAAGTAATCATGGGTTGGGTAATATTTCTTAACAGAGCTCTTTTGACTTTCTCTCAAATTCCTGACATCTGTTCTGTAAGTTGTACATACAGGTAATGAATACATACAGCGCAACAGCTTCCTGGCATCTGGAGCATGCCACAGTTTCCAAGACCTTGAAAGTGAAAATAGATGTATCTTAGATTGAAGAAAACATTGTCCCTGGACATGTACTATATTCTGGGCATCATGCAATACTTCCTATGTAAGTGGCAAAACTGAATGGTTTCCATGGTGCCAGTGGCTGTAGAGAAACCTTTGGTAAGTAGTAGAGTCAGAGAGGCCTCGTGTATGGAGTAGGTCTAAAAGAATAAGCTTTGGTCTGGAAGAGAGAAAGACTTTTCCAGAGGGATGAGCATGAGCCATTTAGAAACTTCTCAGGAGGAACAGGCCCACGTGGAGAAGGCAAGGCAGCTGGTGGTTTGGCATTGTTGATGTCTGGTTTCCTATAAAGTGTCCTTCTTTATGCTGCCCAGAACTGTGGTGAGGGCTGATGAGATTGATTCAGTGGTTGTAAAGGTGCTTGCCACCAAGCCTGATAAACTGAGTTCAATCCTTGGGACCCACATGGTGAAAGGAGAGAGCTGACTCCCAAAACTGCCCTGTAACCACAACACACGTGCTCACTCATGTGCATGCACACACACACACACACACACACACACACACACACACACACACACACACCACAAATAAATGTAATTTAAAATTAATAAAAATGTTGGTGACCAGGGCATGGTGACCCATACCCATAATCTAAGCACTTGGGAAAATCTGGGGTGAAGTTCAGTTAGGTGGTTGTGGATATAGACATTAGTTTTTGTTCTAAGGATGTAAGTTCAACTTAATGTGTTTTACTTGTAAAAAAAAAATAATAACAGTTCTCATATTCCTGCATTTGTTTACTTCTCTGCCACAGGTCCTAATGTGTTTAGTTCAAAGAGTCTTGCCCTTCAAGCCCAGAAGAAGATCCTGAGCAAAATAGCCAGCAAGACTGTAGCCAACATGCTGATTGATGACACCAGCAGTGAAATCTTTGATGAGCTCTACAAAGTCACCGAAGAACACACCCATAACAAGAAGGAGGCCCACAAGATCATGAAAGATGCAATCAAGGTGGCCATCAAAATCGGTATCCTCTACCGGAACAAGCAGTTCAGTCAAGAGGAGGTTGTAATTGTGGAGAAACTCCGGAAGAAGCTGAACCAGACTGCTATGACCATGGTCAGTTTCTATGAAGTAGACTACACCTTCGACACAAACGTGCTGTCTAAGCTGCTGCATGAGTGCCAGGACCTGGTCCATGAGCTGGTGCAGCGACATTTGACACCCAGAAGCCATGGACGCATCAACCATGTCTTCAACCACTTCGCTGATGTGGAGTTCCTTTCTACTCTCTATGGTCCACGTGGAAACTGCAGGCCCAATCTCAAGAGGATTTGTGAAGGAATCAATAAACTGTTGGATGAGAAGATCCTCTGACAGGCTTCTCTTCTCCTGGACTTCGCTGCTTTGAAGTTAAAACATCCAACCTGGTCCGGTAAGAATCAAGCAGCAAACCTTGTCCAAGATGCTCTAGTTATGTCCTCTTCATCCTTCTGATGCCAATTCTAACCCAGACTTAGTGTGTTGACTCCCTGTGCACAGGCATGAGGTCTCGAGTCTAAATGAACTATGTTTGCAAGCCCAAAGAATAGTCAACGGTTCTAAGCAGGGAGCCTGCTTCCGTGAGCTCAGTTCATCTTAAAGTGGAAGGCATCCTGGATTAGGACACAGAAGACACGGGCTTGGATATCAGCCCTGCCACTATGAACTCTTATCTTCTGTGTTCTGAAGACGTGATGCTTCCTGACTACCTCACAGGGCTGTTGTGGGGACTGAATGGGACAGCTCACATGCACGGTTTTGTGAAACTGAGACCGGTGACTGTATATAATAAATAAATGGGGTATTAACTAGTCATAATTGATGTGTTTGCTTGTTGTCAGTTGTCATGGCATATTTAATAATCACAGTACCCGAGAGGCTGGGGTATGAGAACTATGATTTTTTTTTTGATAGTCTGAACGAAAGAATAGGGTTGAGATAAACCTGGCCTATATAGGAAACTCTGAGGAAATGAAAATGGAAAAGGAGAGAAAAAAATAGAAGAAAAGGAAAAAGAAAAGTTCCTTGCCACCTTTGAGAGAAATGAGAGTCAAGGTGACGTTGTCCCTTTACTCTGCACGTGGACTAAGGACACTTGTTGGGACTGCAGCGATGACTCTCGGTTTAGGAAGAGCAATGCTTTCGTTATTTCCTGGTTTTCTCCGGTTCCTCAGACTCTCCAGTTTCGTCTCCAGCGACATCTGTTCAACAGCCATCCACTTCTCAGGCTGCGTTGACTCACTTCCTCACATGTCTCCCCCTTTCATTTCAAAGTCTTACATGAGAAATGTTGCGTTTGGATGAGTAGTTTTCAGTTTCCCTAATGAGAGGATGAATTCTGTTTTGCGGATTTTGAGGATTCTGCACTAAAATTTTATTTATAATTGGTCTGTAATATTTCTAAGGCTCTGTTGTGGTGTAAAGCTTCAGTAGATGTATATATTGTATTAGCAAATCAATGTAATTAGCATATCTATCATAAATATTTATTTTTTTCTGGCAGGATTATTCAGAACCTCCTCCTCTAGCTATTTAGTAATATGTAGCACATTATTATTAGCTCTAACGACCCTGTTATGAAATCAAGCAGTAGAATTTTCCTGGGTAGATGTAACTGTCAACTTCTCCCATCTCTTTCCTCCCCTTCTCATTCTGTAGTAACCGTTGTTCTACTTTTTATTTCTTAAAGATCAACTTCTGAAGTATTTCATGTGTGTGAATTACACAGTGTTTGTTCAATGTCTGTCTCATTTCACTTCACGTAAAGTTTTGTAATTTTATCCATATTGCTGCAAATGTCAGAATTTTTTTTTACAATAAAAAACATTCTGTTCTGTTCAAGTGTCATTTTTTTCTTCTGCTCATCTGCTGATGGTGCTTTGGGTCTAAGCTATTGCAAATATTGCTACTGTAGTAAACATGGGACGGCCCATACCTGTTTTCCACATGACTATTCCATTTACTTTGCACATATACCCAGTAATGTGGTTTCTGGGTTAGGTGGTCATTTTATTCCTCCCCTCATAGGGAACAACCACTCTGTTTTCTGCAATGATTCTGCTTTATATCTACAGCAACATTATATAAAATTTCCATTTCCTCCACATTCCTATCAAAACATGTCATCCTTTGTCTTTTGGGTATTATCATTGTATCCTCAGAGAAGTAAAATCTCACTGTGAGTTTGATGTGTATTTTCCTAATAATTAATGATTTTAATCGTTTTTACAAATATTTTGGCTATCCATATGCCTCTTTTTGAGAAATTTCTATTCTTACCTTTTCCCTTTTAAAATTTGGATTATGTTTTAATTTGCCTTTGAGCGATTTGACGATGCTAATAGTGATATAGAGTGAATGAATAGAGCAGTGCATGCCGTGGATGGCAGACCCAGAGAAGTAGGGCTGCCCAGCCACAATCTCAGTCAGTTCCAGATGTGGGACATTGAGCTACCGGATTTAATTTCCACTGTGTAACTTTGATTTTGCTTTGGTTTGATTGTGCCTGTGCCCTAGTTCTTACCTCTTGGAATAAGAAATATGTAACTTGCTGTGATTTTAAAGGAGCCCAAACTTTGGAATTTTAGAGAGACTTTGGGTACTTTAAAAAGAGACTGAATTTTTAAACACTGTGGGACTTTAAAAGTTATACCTTGCTTTATATTGTGATATTGATATTAAGATGAGATCTCAGGGATAAGCAAAAAAGGGAAGGCTATGGATTAATAGTAATATTTTAGTATGTCAGTGTTTAGTATGACAAGGGGTCTGTTGTCTTGGTTGAGTATCTTGACATAAGCTAGAGTTTTCTGGGCAGAAGGTTAACTATGGAGAAAATGCAAACACCAGATTATAGGCAAAGCTCTATGGTGTTTTCTTGATCAGTGATTGATGTGGAAGGGTCCAGCTCACTGGAAATGGTGTCGTTCCTGGGTGGACTATCCAAGGTTGTATAAAGAATCAGACTGAGCAAGCCGTGGGGACCAAGTCAGTAAGCAGCCCCCCTGTGGGGCCTCTACCTTCGTTCCCACCTCCAGGCTCCTGCTCTGAGTTTTACACTTAATTACTTCATGAAGGACTTTAATCTGTGAGGAGAAATAAACCCTTTCCTTCCCAAGTTGCTTTGGGTCAAGATGTTCTATCACACCAGTAGAAAGCAAACCAAGATAACAGGATATGGAGCCCTTTGAGTACATGCTGAGTGTAACTTGAAATGTGCGCTGGTGGAACTTCCAGGCAAGCTTTTATGTTCAGGATTTTGGTTGTCATGAGTCTTTTGTATTTTCATATAACATTTAAGGTTTTTTTCTGTAAAGAATTGCATTTCAGTTTTGATAGGAATTGCATTCAACCTTTAAGTTGCCTTTTGTGGGATGGCTGCTTTTGTAGTATCTGTCCTGCCAATCCATGAGCATGGGAGCTCTTTCCATCTCCCATATAATCTTCAATGTCCTTTTTCGGTGTCTTAAAGTTTTCATTGTACAAGTCTTTCACTTCCTTAGTTAGATTTATTCCATGATTAACGCTGTTGGAAACTTAATTGTTTCCTGATTTCTTTCTCAGTGTGCTCGTCATTTGTGTAGAGAGAGGCTCTGTATCTTTTTTTTTTTTTTTAGTGTTATTTTTGAATCCTGCTATTTTGTAACTGTGTTGATGAGGTGTGGGATATTTCTCATGGACTCTTCAGGGTTTTTTATGTACAGAATGGATCATCTACAAATATGGATACTTCAAGTCTTTGTATCCTTTTTATCACCTTCACTTGTCTTATTAAGCTAAGGAAGACTTCCAGTATTCTATTGACTAGGAGGGGGAGAAAGTGGACATACTTGATTTGTCCCTAATTTTAAAAGAAATGCCTTGAGTTTCTTCTTGGGCCCCTCCTTCCTTCCTTCATAATTCTTCAGTCACACTGGGATTAAACAAAATTAAGAAGAGCTCATTAGCTTGGACTTAATTTGATTTTCAGTTTAGCTGTAATTTGTGGAGGAAGTTGTGAACAGCAAGTTCACCTACTGCAAGTTGGTTTAAGTAAGCTCCCAAACAGCACAGACGTCCAGGTATCACCAGGTAATGACTGCAAAAACAGATGCGAGGTTAGAACCATTTAAAAATGCATTAGGAGAGGCCCCAAGGAAGGGACGACTGGACACTTAGGGAGGGACTTTGCTTTTATCTACTGCTGAAGTCTTTGGTTTCCAGAAGAGACTCTGTGGGACTAAGAGCCAATCTGTGAGCAGAGGCATCATGCCAACCGCCCGGTGCTGGAGCACTTAGAGTCTATGATGAAGCTGGTCCACAACTATTAGAAGAAGTACAAACTAGATTCAGCAGCTGCTGCTGAAGTAAAGAAGTGTTGCTATGGGATACAGGAGCAAACAACAAAAGCAGACTATCTCCTCCCCGCTCCCCGCTCAAGCCCTGCAAACTCCCGAACTGTAGAGCTCAACAGGAAACCTGCCAGGGCAGACACATGGCTCTGGAGTTCTGATCTCAATGCCACACAACAGAGTGTGGAAGAGTGGCTTTGGATCTCGAAACTAATGAACTGAATGACCTAGATACATGCCTACGTATATCAAGTCACTTAGTGCAGTTCATCAATTACATAGTACGTGGATAACTAACATAAATAAACTTAAAAGTTGAGCTCTGTATGTTGTGTGCTGAGTTATTCTGTATGTTATCAATAACTAAGTAGTATCAGAAAATTTCTCCCTTTTAATCTTGGTCTTTAACTTACATATTAATAGATTAGTTTATATATTTTTATCTATGACGGTGATACTTTCATAAAGTTTTCTAAGGTAATTTTTGCTCCTTAGAAGCAAATAAGAATTTGATTGAATGAAAATAGCTCACTGCTTTTTGGCTTTTGAAAGTCCCCAGTATATTCACAAACTGCCTCAACTCAGTAGAATGATCAAAACCTTACGGGATTCATGTTTTTCAAATTTATGAACAAAATTTTTTTCTTTAAAATACCCAGGGGAGAATTATTGCAGGAAGATAGCAAAGCAGAACTGAAAAAAAGGAGGAGTCTGGCTAATTCTCCCATCACACATACCACTGAGCAGAGGGAAAAGAAAGTGAACAAACATTTAGTTCACTGCCACAGACATCCACTGACACACACACGTACACATATGTCAGAGAGCCACTAAAACACACACACACACTTAACACGGCAATCCACTAACACACATGCACACACACATAACACACACACATGCACACATAGACAGCCACTAACACACACACATACACTTAACACGGCAATCCACTAACACACATGTACACACACATAACACATACACATGCACACATAGACAGCCACTAACACACACACATACACTTAACACAGCAATCCACTAGCACACATGCACACACACATGCACACATACACATGCACACATAGACAGCCACTAACACACACACATACATTTAACACAGCAATCCACTAGCACACATGCACACACACATAACACACACACATGCACACATAGACAGTCACTAAAAATACACACACATACATTTAACACAGCAATCTACTAACACACATGCATGCACACACACACAACAGACATCCACTAATTCACATAACACAACAATTCACTAACACATATACATGCACACACATACCACACATAAGACAGAAACCCACTAATACATATGCAGAGACAGACACATAACACAAACACACATAATACAGACATACACAAACATACACATAGAGACACACAAACAGACATATACACACAGACACACACACGCACACTTGAACATACAAACACTTTGTAGAGAGAAGATAAAGATTTGTGTCTAATTTAGATGTCCTTTATTATAATTTAATCAGTGTGTTTACCATTAAGAAATAAAAAGGCTATCACTTAAGTTATGACTTATTCATGCTTATAAAATTATAATTATATAATTATAAAATTACTTCAGAAATCTTAAAAAAAAAACCTCAAGACTTCTTGCCTAGGAGTCTGTGATGTATAGTATGAAATAAAACCACAAGTTAGGTATGTGAGTTAGTAATGGCATTTGGTTACAAGTGTTTTACACTAAGCGGGGAAAGAATGCTTTGAGAAGTCCAACTCCTCAGATACAGGGATTTAAAAAAAAATAATAATAATAACCTACTCTGGCCTCAAGCTTGCAGTGAGCCTTCTGCCTTGGCCTCCTGAGTGCTGGAATTATGGATGTGAGCCGCTCTACCCAGGAGCACTAGTATGTAGTTCTTCAATTGATGTTAAGGAATTACTTTCTAACGGTAAGTTCCATTAGTTTTTGTCCTTCAAGATGAGGACATGGAAACATTAGCTGTGACAGAAATGCATTGGAAAATGTGAAGGGGAGGAGGGGAGAACCTTTGGCCTGGGGTACAGTCACGGCACCCGTGGAAGGAGAGTAGCTGCCCAGCACCTAACTACAACACCATTTCAAGAAAGGCTGAGCAAAAGAGTGGAAAAGACCCAAGATCACATTGTGGTGAGCAGAAGCCCTGAGTGAACGACATGATCACAGACATGTCAAGGACATGAGTCCAATGCCATAGACCATGGGAAAGGCAAAGCCTTCCCCTGGTCCCTGTGTGGATATTGACAGTATGTGAAGAAAATGTCAACCACAGTTTCCTCCTCCTGGGTGTTTACAGCATGGAACTCTTCCCCAACAGAAACTCCTACCAAGCTAAATCTGCCTCCTCCTTCAGCTGTGTGCAGTAAACTCACGACCTTGCTCAGCTGTATATAATAAACAGGCTGGATTTCAGGCCTGATTTTGGTGTGTCTCCATCAGAGCACATGGCCCGCCCAATCCTAGCTTTTCTTTTCTTCTTTTCTTTTTTCTTTTTCTTTTTTGATTTTTTCGAGACAGGGTTTCTCTGTGTAGCTTTGCACCTTTCCTGGATCTCGCTCTGTAGACCAGGCTGGCCTTGAACTCACAGAGATCCGCCTGCCTCTGCCTCCTGAGTGCTGGGATTAAAGGCATGTGCCACCACCACCTGGCCCAATCCTAGCTTTTCTTTATGTCTATCTGTTGTCTCTTCATTGTCCCAGTTAGGTTAATCCCTGAGCTGTGAAGGTCATGGCAGATGGAGCTAAAGTAGTGACACCTGACTGTGGGGAGTTCAAGTTGGTCAGGCAAAGGAGGGCTCCAGTGAGAAGGTAAATGGGGGAGCTCAACTCCATGTGTGGGGAACACAACATGGGACCAGGAAAGTCTGTGGACAAGAAGTTATATATTCATACTTGAAGACTCTGAGGAATCTCAGTAGGTAAAAAGCGTTATCACTCCATCAGTTAATTCTTAGACTGTGTCCAGGAGATATGCCCTTGGTTTCCCAAAGAAAGGACAGTAAGTTTGATATTTGGGAGAGGATAGGAGAAGAGTTAGGGGGTGGCTATTACGTTGAAGGACCCAAACATGCTTGCATTCTCACTTTTGGTTTAGGGAGTCACATATGTGATTCCATAGATTTCTGGCCATTTTCATACCAAAGGGGAGACTCTGCCTCACTGAATTGTGGGGGAGTCTGGCTTTGTAGGCCTGGCCACTTAGATTACTAGGAACTGACCTCTTGTCCCTGACACAAATAGCGACAGGGGATGGGTTCACGTCTGTGACTCTAGTAGCCTCCCTACAACCTGCGGAGATAGAAAGGCAAATTTGATGCACAGGTCATGCTCGCCCTGCCCTGCCTCATGCCTTGGATGCTGATATGGAGGAAAGTGATTCTGAGAAAGAGATCACCTGACCCATGCCAAATTTTACCTTGGGGCTGCACCACTGAGAGACTGTGGGGGAAACGGTCTCACTCCTCTGCCTAAGGAGAGAGACCTGGAGGAAGGTGCTAATGGTTTTCACTGCTTTTCCATGTTTGAGCAACCCTGATCTGCAGAATCCAAACTACATGGTATGCTATCGTGAGACTGTGCCTTTCCATCCTTAAATGAGACCCAACAAGTCTGTACAGCCTATGGGCCTAAGGCTCCATAAACCTAAGGACCTATTCAGAGTGTCCTCAGTGACAGTTCATGGATGGCCTCCTTCTGATTGGCTAAGCATGGCGAAATCTTGCCTCAACCCAAGGCATTACCATTCATTTAGAACTGAGTTACAGAATTATATCGGGACCAGGAACAACAACCACCCATGGAGTTGCTATAACCAAAGACATGTTCCTGTGTACAGGACCTTATGAAGTGACCAGCAGCCAATTACACTAACCTTTGTGAGCCTGCTGAGTTAACCTGTTAACATATTAAAGGCATGGAGAGAACTGCCCACCAAAGGGCAAACAATTCCATGGATAACTGAGATTCACCAGGGCCCAGAAGCATTGTACCTAGACTTTGTGGCCTGGCTCTTACAAGGGCATGTAACAGATGTCCTGAGGCAGGGGAGGTGCTCATAAAACAGCTGGCTTTTGAAGATGCTAACAAGACTTGTAAAGAGGCACTTAGGGGATTGTATCAGCACTTACATTTACAAGAGATGACTAGTGTGTGTGCAGACATAGGTCCTAGCCACCTTCAAGGCATTGCTCTCCCAGCAGCCCTTGAGGAAGAAGTTACATGCCTTGGGGAGAAAGGGCACCTGTCAGACATGTGGGGAAATGGAACATTTTGCTTGTGATTACCGCAAGGATTTAAAATTAAAAAAACAAGCAGGCCCCAGTATCATCTGGATGACCTGCATGGCCCCTTGGTCTGTGCCCACAATGTCAGAGAAGAGTCCACTGGGTTAATGAATTCCATTCACAGACAGCTAGACATGGGCAACCTCTGACAGGGCTGGCAATGGGGCCTGCCCTAGCACCATCAAATTGCCAAGGCTATTGCCGGGGTGAGGTCCTGTGAACCAACAGAGCAGACAGATGACCCTCAGCCACCATAGTCCATCAACAACCAGCTCTCGCCGGCAACCTCAGGCAGTGGAGGATTGTACCTCATTTCTACCACATGTCTTAAACTAACCTCCAACGTGGGACCCCCAAGCCATCCCTACTGGCACAGTAGAACTTATTTTAGGAAGAAGCAACCAGACCCTATGGGGACTATAGCTCCACCCAGGGGTAATAGATAAAGGTTATACAGGAGAAATTAAAGTTCTGATTCGGTTGCCCCAAACTTAGTTTGATAGTATATATGAATTAAAAACGGCTCCATTAATGATATTCCCCAATGTTAAACAAGAGAAGGTGCTCATGCCTCATCTCCATAATTTTTTAAACCTAATCTACCTGCACATTGCTTCCAATGGAAGATTCTTCTCTGGGGTATGAAAAACAGCCCTACTATGCACAAGGAATCTGTTGAAGCTATCAAGCCCATGTATGAAAAAACCCTAAGACTTGTGTTACTACTATATGGATGATATTCTAATCAGGCATCCTGACTTCTGAACTGGCAGCCCTCTGTGTCCACCTCAAAAATAGCTTTTAGAAGCCGGGCGGTGGTGGCGCACGCCTTTAATCCCAGCACTCGGGAGGCAGAGCCAGGCGGATCTCTGTGAGTTCGAGGCCAGCCTGGACTACCAAGTGAGTTCCAGGAAAGGCGCAAAGCTACACAGAGAAACCCTGTCTCGAAAAACCAAAAAAAAAAAAAAAAAAAAAAAAAAAAAAATAGCTTTTAGACCCATGGTCTTC